AATATGGCATGCTGCTAGTGAGAGAACCTGTTGTTAAAATATTTGATTCCCACCACTGACTATAGGTTATAAATCATAATCATATTATAATTCAGTAGTAAGTTTATCTAGGAAAGACTACTTCAAACGTCTTATTTGAAGTATTGCATTTTCTAGCTACAAGCACTTACCTCAGTAAAGCAGTTTTTCAACACATAAAATAAGCAAGATCTTTGAAAGTGTTCTGTTTCAAGAGTACCTAAAACCAAAAATAAAAGTAACAAATATTTCTATTTCTCGGTTTTCAAGCTCATATGTCATTCTGTGTTGTAGCCTACAGAATGCATAATTCTTCTCTTGATTCATAGCATACGCACGTACTGACGTCACGACAGTACATGTTGCAGCATTAAACGACCCTTATGTGACGTCATTTTAGTGCTTACTGACTGACAGACAACACACTAATGTATAATGGTGAGAGTGGGTAAAACAGACAGGATACCATTCCAGGTAGCCTTTGGCCCCCTTTCGAGAGAAATAAAGTTTAGACGCCGAAAGCTGATGAAGTATTCAGAAAGCAATCACGTAAACTACAGCTTTCGACATTGTAACCGTAACTTTTAAAGTATTATATTGTATGTGTAAACAGCGTTTCAGAAAATCATTGTTTTTCATCGTCCTACCCAACTTATTGGTACTGGTATTGGACGACAGGCCTCTTAAGCAGCGACTACTTGGAGACAAAAGATGTGTCTGAAATGATATTTTAATGCGAAGTGTTCAAATTAAGAGAAATCTAAAAAAAAAAAATCTTCAATTTACGTGATATAAATAATGTGTTATAATCTTCAACACTAAAATACGAAAATTAACGTTAATGCCACAATCTATGAAGAGAAATATTTTTCAAGCCCTTTAAAAACAAAAACATGTATTACTTTATGCTTTTAACGTACGTGCAAGTTGCACCAAAGTATTACACCTTCCCATTTTAGTTATTACTAGTATTTGTCTGAAGTTATAATTGTTTTCTTGTTTTACTACCAATAAAAATTTGAGTTTTATATTTAAGTATTTTCAAGTATCACTTTAATCTTCAGGAGATACTTTGGCTCAGTTTTTGAACTGACTAACAAATGATAGTTGAACTTACCGTCAGATGACCTGTTTTTATCTTTCAAAGCTACGTAACGCAAACCTGATTTAAATTGAGCAGCAAAAGTAGAAATGTTTAATTTACAAGTTTTTGTTTTGTTTTTCAAGAATAAAATTCATTTCTGCAATTGGTACTGCACATTCATATAGCGCCAGTAATATTAAGATATGGCTCCATTGAAAGATACGTTTATGTACAGTGTAACAAGAACCACGTCGAATTTACCGTCAGTTGTGCAAATATCACTGGAACACAAAGAATGTACACGGATGTTGGGTTGTGTACGTCTCCAGACACAGTGAAACGTGAAAGACTTTTATATGAGAACCACGCGAAGAACTACTTTACGTCTAGCATGACTAACAAAATCTAAACATTTTATGTTTTGCCATGAATGAGAGGGATGTGGCAGAATTACATTTTTACAACGTGTAAAACAGGTAAGCATGTTTATTAGAAGCAATACGGATGTGATTTAGATACAAAGTATATATTGTTAAATTGTTTAGTGTTACATAAAACATTGTACAACTCATTGAACAGCGGGAGGGGGGGGGTTAAGGGTTCGATAGTTTAGCAACGGTATATAGTACATTGGTGCTAAATTTTCAGTACAGTTTAGCACCAATTGTCAAAATAATTTGCATCCCCTCGTAATGTAATGAGTGGTTCCTGCTGATGCATAAAATAATCGAACTGGAAGATTCCAGTTCAGTTTATCCGATATAATTTTGAGTTAATCAACCGTACTCATATATTGTCATGCGTGAAGAACACGGAATATTGTTTCACGCGAATTGCAGAGGAAGCACTAATACAGGAATCTCTTGACGGTCAGTTATGCAACTTTTATAGCCGTGATTCTTATTATCATTAATTAACTTCTCTTCACACATGCGCAGATTTAAAGTACTGGGCCGTTAGATATCACAGCCGAAATAAGTTTGCGCTATTAGTTACCCTGTTCACTTTGCCTCTTATTAAAACGTGAAAACCTAGGAGATAATTAATCGTCTAGATACAGATATGAACATAATACTCCTTTCAAAATTTCTTTTTTTATAATAAACAGTAAGCTTTAAAATTACTTTTCTACTGCTAATTATCGAAGCTATTTCTGTGGTTTTGTTGTTGTTGTTGTTTTTTCAGAAGATTTGGGTTAAAAGAGTTTGCCAAGAAACGTGTTCCTAATGTATATAATTAAAATAAGTGAACAAGGCTGAAGTACCGTATTTTTCGGTGTATAAGACGCACTTTTTTACCCCAAAATTTGATGTCAAAATCTACTTGCGTCCTATACACCGAAGGTATGAATAATATATATGTATATATATATGATATACACAAGTCATCTGTAAATATATTTAAATAGGCATGCATAGTTTAGTTCAATTGAATGTGTTATTTATAACAATAGTAGTTGTTTTTTCTTTT